AAGTGTGCCAGGCACTGCTGGACAAATCCCAGCCATCCTGGCTGGAGCTCATGGGCAGCTGAGCATTTCTAGACACAGAAATGTGTCAAAGAGTTGTCTCAAAGAGACAACTTTCAAAGAGACAACTGAATTATGTAAGGACATGCAGAGCCGCCCAGGATAAAGGAGACTCAAAATTGGATTAAATCAATTTTACTTCCACTTGCCACAAGGTATGAATGGTATGTTCTACACCTTAGGAATAAGAAGTTTAAAGTATTTATGTGAGCATTGTTCTTTTAACTCTTTAAAGGATGTGGTAAAAAACCCTATGTAATCTCAAATTGCAATATTCGGATAGGAATTTTAACTGTGGGGATAATGTTTGACACTTGCGGAGGAATGGGTTTAGCTATAAAATTCTCAGTTCAAGTTTATAAAACTAGTAGAAGTGCAGAAAGGTTAAGATCAAAAAGTGCCCAGGAGTGTGGATTTTTATTCTGATGAGTGACTTTGCTTGTTATATTTGGATGCTAATGTAATAAAAAGGTCTTAATCTCCGTCGTTTGTGAAAGTAACAATACCTCTCCCTTCTTGTATTAAAGAAATATAGTTTTTTGAATAATATGATAAAGTTTATAAACATTTATTTATATGTGGCCATGTTTTAGTTTCTCTATCGACAAATGAAGGGTAAAGACTCTTCAGTACTGAAGAATTGAATAGAACTGTGACAAGTTTTCAGAAAGCTGCTACAGATTAATCTAGTGATGTATATTTCTGCACAATAGAAAGAAATAGAGGCTGGGAATTAGAAGGAGGCTCTATTTAAAGTAAGATGCTGAAATGCTAATATCATACTTACCAGGTCTTTTTTTTTTTAAATATATTAATTCTTCATGATTCTATTAGCTCTTTTATTTGTGCCTTTTCTTTTTTAAACCAATTATTAGTAAAGAAAGGAAAAATTAATCAGTCAACATAATATTTGGACTTCAAAAATTTTCTCCACAGGAGCAGCTGTTAAGGAAGTTAAGTAGTCACTGGGGGAGAGGAAAATCCTCATCATGGAGTGAAAATGGCTGGATGACAAAGTCTGGAGTAAAAATATATAGTCCTCCTCCACTGTGACTGAAAGATTAAGTGGGCTGCTATCCACTGCTTCATGTTATGATGTTTGTTATTTAAGACATGGAATAATGGAAAGCAAGTTAGGCAATGAGATGAGAGCACCTGCAAATGTTACAATTAGCTGGGTTACTCAAATCCAAAACACACTATGTGGGGAACTTCAAAAGGGAGCCCTGAGATCTACAGCAGTGGATGACATGATGTCAAACAAAATTCAACAGTATGAAAGCTAGCAGGCATTGAAAGAAGTAATTTGAACTATTTATGACCTCTTTTGGGTTCTAAATTAATTTTAAAATACCAGAAAAAGAGATCAAGTCATTGTGGACAACTCAATAAACCCTGTGATCTCTCTTAAAGTTTCATCAGCCTTTCCTGTCCCCTTATGATTTCTCCAAATTATAGGATCCCCTCACAACAAAACAAGAAACAATGGCAAAATGTCCCTGTCTATGCAATAAGCTACATCCAGTACTGCTGACAGTATATAATGCAGCATCTTGTCTTATTCTGACTGCTGTGATAGAGAAGAAATAAGCAACAGAGGAAGAAAATAGCCTATTTTTAATAAATATATTGTGCCTCTTTCTAAAGAAGAATGAGCAAAGATTTGGCAAAAGGGAGGAGACACAAATTTTATCTCTGCATAAATAACATATTTTTTCATCAAACAGGTAACTAAATGCTAGCCCATGCAGGAAAGTTCCAAACCTGTAGGAGCTTACATTTGGGATTTAGATGTGTAAAGTCAAATTGAGATGAAAGTGCTTCTAGTATCAATTATTACAGGGTGCTGAGCATCCCATAGAGACTCTTCTTTCCCAGAAATCCAGAAAGGAGAGTGTCAGTGAAAGTCTTCATTGAGCCCTTCTGTCTTGCTGTTCCCTCTGTGGGGCAAGATTCACCCTGTTTATGCCACTGCTGAAAGAGCTGAGGGATTTCTCAGGACAGTCCTTGTTCCTTGCTTACATTTTAGTTATTACTTAGCACAGCTGAGGTTTACAGAGTTATCCCTGTAATTAACCTGACTGCATCCTCTGCATCTGCTGGGCTACATGTGTCTCCTTCCAGCCCAAAGGTAAGGGTAATAGTAAATCTCATATGCTATAAAAAATTAACTGCACAGTTGTACAAGAACCATGCCAATGTTGCCATGGACAGTCACACACCCACAGCAGGGATCTTTACACAGTGTACCTCCAAGCAGAACACGTGGGAGGAGAGGAAGGAAAAAGTAAAATGAGCATCCTCTTTTTTTTTTTAGTTTTATGTACAGAACTGATTAAAATAGATTTCAAAGAGAAAAGTTCATTGTACAGTTGTTCAAACAACTGTGCTTTTAAAAATATTTGGAAAAGAGAGGATTTGCAGAAATCCATTAAAAGGTGCTCATTAAGGTGATTCATTCTGCTGATGGAACTTCTGGTGCCAAAGATTTCCCAGGGGCAGAGGCAGGAGGTCGGATGCTGTCCAGGGGAGTGGCTGAGTCCCTGTTCCTGGAGGCATTTTCAAGACATGGAGATGTGGCACTGAAGGACATGGGTCAGTGGTGGACTTGTCAGTGCTGGGTTAAGGGTTGCACCTGGTGATCTTAAAGGTCTTTTACAACCTAAATGATTCTCTGATGCTGATTCTATCTTCTTTTGCTAAACTGGTTTGAACTGAGTATGAGTTGAGCACGTTGACTTATATCTATTCTTCAGCATAAAGAAAAGGTCTATTTTTACCTACTGTTACAATGCTGTCTCATATTTTGCCAGGTTGTTCCATATCACAGTTGCAGCAAAGAATCTCACTAAAACTCCAGATCAAAGAAATTAATTGAAGCATTTTCACAGTTACCCTTAACTCCAAGGCAAATCCATGCACCACTCTATTCTTTGTCTTCTTTTCTGTTTTCTGGTAGTTTTGTCTTGTCCTATGTTCTTTTACATGCTTGAAAATTCCCCTAAATTACTAAATATTTTTCAATATCAAAAGGTTTCATCATTCTTTTGTCATTGAATAGTCCTCTTCATCTGTAATTACTTCCTGTTCTCTTCTACAGTTCACAATATTTTCATATTCTCATAAAACCCTCAATTCTGTGGAAGGACAGGTTGCAGAATTCTCACTGTCATGTTGCTGTTGTGAACTTCTTTCAGTCCCTACCAAGGTAGATGAAACCTTGAACTGCAGCCATGCTCTGAGGTGCCTCCTCTCTATTGATTCTCACCACTGATGTCACTCTGACTTCCTTATTTTCATATGAAAGCCCATGAGAACTAAAGCTAAAAGTGATCCCTGTTGCTTTGTGAGCCAGTGAAGGATTAGTCCCTGCTCATGTTTGGTGTAAGTGAGTTTTGTACATGTTAGCCATTATCTTGAAGTAGTGTTTCATTGTGAAAAAGAATTCCTTCTTGCACAACAGGAAATTTTTATTTCTATTTCACTTCTACATGGGACACTTTATGGAAAAACTATATACTTTTTCTGTGGAGGTAGTGCCCAAAAAAATACTTGTAGCTGTTGTGCAAGCGCTTAAAATATTGGTTGAAAATAAAGCCTCTCTCGACAGTTCTTCTCCAGACTATGTTGGCCTAATAAAAACTTTTTTTTTCATTTTCATTTTTTTTCTCCTTTTTTTTTTTTTTATTTTAAATACCTCCACATTATCAAAGTGTTTTTGATAACAGGATGGCAAGAATGGGAGGAGCTAATAAAAATTCATTTGACTGGCACATTTCATTTTAGGCTAATTTTGGCTGTACCCTCATAGCAAATGGTAAATGAGAAAATATTCTCCTACATTTTGTTTGCATATAGGTTACATCAGTGGAGAAAATTCATATAGGAAAAATGTGCAGTGCAAGTTTGTTGTTCAGTGCCAATTTAGGTAAAATCTAACTGTAGTCCTGAAGCAGAGGAGTCAAACAACCTTAATGAATTACATGAGACTGGGTTTATACAGAAAAACCCTTTACTTGAGATCCCTTTGCTTGAGACCCCCTTACTTGATTTATTTTGAAGTGAAAAGGTGGTCTGTGAAAGAAACATTATTGTTCCCTCAAGTACCCTTTGGGTAATAAGCTGAAATATTACATCAGTTCTGTGGCTTTCACTCCCACACCTAACAAGATCAGATTTGAGACTCTTACAAATCAAAAGAAAATCCTTATTTTAATATTAGACAATGAACCAAATCAATTTTGTCTCTTAAGAGCAGCATATAGCCTGGAGGAACTTAAGAGTGAGAGGAGTCCAAGATTTACAATCATGAGCACTAATAATCATACCAAGAGTCCAAATAAATGAATGGGGAGTGTCATTTGATACTGTTTCATTTGGGTTGGTTTTTTTCCTTCAAATAGATGTTGGTTTCAAAGGAATGCAATATAATTTATTTTTCTTTCCCTAAAAATGATAGAAAAAGTATTAATAAATTAGATTAATAATGAACAGAATATTTTTGGTGTGTCTTTACCCAAAAAAATCTGGGAATCAGAGTATGAGTTCTAAGACAGTTTTAGAAGCAGTTTTCCTTGTGACTAAAGGGAAACTGTGTGCTGATGTAGTGTAATTTGCTGCACATTTATGGAGGTGTGAATGCCAGGCATTTAAAATTAAAAGCTGCTGCTATGAGTCCACTAGCTAAAGCAGTGACAGGAGCAAAGAAGAAAATTTTAAACAACTGAAAACTGCAAGAATTGATGGAGAGGTAGAAGTTATAAATCTGTCCTCATGTATTGTTTGCTTCATGCTTTCTGATGCTTCTCACTGAATAATGAAAATGTCTGTTGACTTATCTGCTGAATTCTGAGAATGAAGCAAGTATAAAGGCAGGCTGAAAAAATACAGTGCTTCAACTTGCTTTTGAAGAACTCTGATATCATCAAGGCATAAGAGCCCCACTTTCCTATGAAAAAAGACCACATGACACTTCTCTTGCAGGTGGATTTAGGAAAGTAGCCTGCCACTTCTGCATTGCTTTGAACCACTTCATATATCTGGGGACTTAGATATTTGGCTAGATTACAGGTGTTTGTTTTCAGCCTATGAAGGCTGCAGTTACCTAACTAAAATACACAGAAAATTTTGGTAATTAATTTTTCAAGTAACTATGCTTATGGTGTCTGTACCCTGTCCAGAGGTATAATGTTTCTGTCTAATAAAGGAAACTTATAAGAACTCCTACTATAAGGTTCTTAGTTGTTGGCTCAAGGCTTTATGAAGAACTTCTATGCCTCAGAAATGTAGCATATATTTACTTAGCATCCTGTACATTTTATTATTGGAGTAGCTCTCTTTAAACTTGTCAGCTGTGTATTTAATGACATGTGGGTCACAATAGCTTTTAACTATGTTTATTAGACTCACCTAGAGACAGTATCTTCAAAGTGGCTTTCTGAACTTTCCAGATGTAGTTGAAATACATGATCTTGTCATTAGGAGTTTATTTATAACTTTTCTTACTTTGCAAAGCTCCCAAGATAGATTCCAAGGAATCCCTGGATAAAGAGAAAAAAAAAATCCAAATAATTAAACACAATTTCTCTTGGTTAGCTGTTGTTGTTGGATTTTGTTGGCTTTGCTTCTTTGTCATCTGGGTAGCTGCACTCAGCAGACTCCAGAGTCTGACTGTATGAAGCAGTTCCCGTTTTGGTAACAAGAGATTGCTTGCACCAGAGAGCTGATGTTCAAAGGCAGTGCACTTACCACTGCTCATGCTGAACAGAGTGTGGAATTTGACCTTTATGAAAGAATTGCAAAGATGCTTTGAAATCCCTGTAATGGTATCCACAGAAAACAGAGAGGAGCCAGGAACAGGGAGGTTTTAGTGGGTTTTGGAGAACAGCATGTTATCCCGCTCCCTGTCCTATGTACCCTCTGCCACCCTTCAGTTCCTGAAAAAATGTGACTGCAAGATTCTGTGATATTTCATTTTTCTCACTTGGAGTCTCTCTTAATAATATACAAACCTGTTTCTTTTCCTTATAGTCACCTCACAGTCTTTTGTTAGAAGGATCATCTGTGCTTGTCTGATTCAAAGGAAGACCTTTGGCATCTATTTATATGCAGTGTTGAAGACAGGATGCTGAGCGAGAAGGCTCTTGGATTTAACCCATTAAGGCCATTTTTATGCTACATAAGGGATTGAGAGTTACATTCCTCATATTGCTGATTATCCTACAGACATCTCTCCTGCTAGATTGGAAGCATGTATTTTCAAAGTGTAGCACAGCTTTCTGCTCTTCCTGGAGAAAACTGGTGTATTAAGAAGGGTTTGCTCAATGTCCTTGTGTTGCTATCCCAAACTGCAGTTTTGGATCCTGGGAAGGCAAGACTTTGTACAGATGGATTTCACAAGGGAAACTGTGCCTTTCAAGCTGCCATTGCGAAGAAAATGTAGAAAAGATATCTGTATTTTCTGATGCCTACATGTCCCTAGGATTATAAGGACATATTCTTTTGAGGATATGCAAATGAAGTGTTTGAGCCAACATTATGGGTCAAATTTACTTTATTACAAAAGTAGCTATGTTTTGGGGGCTATTTTAAGGGTAAATGAGCACGGACGTGGGAAGTTTCTTTTCTGTCTGGGCAATAATTCTTTAAGCTGCCTGGTAGCACAGGTTGCTGGTCTCTTCCAGCCAGCTGGTGGGTTCCAGGCAGAGTCTGTCCAACACTTACGTCACATGGAATCCCCATGCACTTGCAAATGCTCCATCCCTGGAGAGGCATGGGCCTTTGGGGGCTGAAATGCTGTCATTGCACTGAGATGTTCTGCTTAGGAATTCAGGGCACAACATAAACCTAGCTGTGGATCGTGCCATTCCACCTTTTTTTTTTTTTTTTTTCCCTCCTTTTCGTAAGTCCTGGATGTGATATGTTTCACAATGATATGTTTCATCTTATGTTGTTGCTCTCAAATTGCACGTGTGAGAACACAGCATCTCGGAAGAGATTTACAAACACGGGTGGGTGACTGATGGCACTTTATTTGTGAAGGAAAAGGCATATGTTTGCCTTGTGGTGTCTGGATCAAAATCCAATGAAAAGAGGACTGACTTCATCAGTAATAGGCGTGTTATTTACCCCATCCCCACCCCCCACTAAAATAAAAGACAAGAAAATGCTGAATGCTATGTGGAGATAACATACAATTTATTGATTCTCTCTGTATGCTTTATGGCTGTAATGGACTTTATGAAAACCCTAAGCCTGTCCATTTTATCTTTGTAAATAATTGACTGCAAACACTGCTATAAATAGGGTAAGTGGAATGAGATTAATGCAAGGAGAAGACTGTACAAGTAATTATATGTATATAGTACATTTCAGCCTGTTTTGGCAAAGTTCAAATACATTTCTTCATAGTGTCTGAAAATTAGAGATCTAATTCTTGGCTCAAGTCTGTTGTCACAACTACCCTTAGCTCTACTGTAATTTGCATTTCAAGTGTACTGGAATCTCTGAGCACCGCCTCTCTGTGTTGTATGATTACTGTTAATACTTGATTTCACAGTTATTTACAGCCTTGATGTATTGCTCGACTGTTGCTAGTATCTCATTTACTATTCTGACCACCCTGAGCAACCCTTCTACATGATACTTCCTGGAGTGTCTAGTCTTTTATCCCCTGGCTGTAACTTCTGATTTCTCTCTGGCTGTAAAACAGTCTCATACCTTTGCATCAGAAAGTATTTTTACTTTTGCGTTGCAGAGCTCAACACAGATACCAGGGAGCATAGCAACACTACTTCATAGTCAGAATAGGGGAACTTTATTGTCCTAAGGAGTTGGCTTGGAGAAGCCCAGGTTCCTCCAGCTCCTGGTTACAGCTAGGTGCAAGGCCACGTAAATTCTGCCTGAGTTCAGGTTGCCACTGAAAGAAGAACTCCATCCTCTTGCTAGTGGCATTTATTTCCCCTTGGCTTTTTGTGTTGGCATATGACTGTTAAATGAGCCAGATAAAGGATTGATTCTGTTGCAAACTAATCTTGTATTTCTTCTGATTTGCTTTTTGGGAGAATTCCCTAATGTGCTTTAGGATACAGTTGTGAGAGGCAAGTGTCAACATTAACAAGGTGGAGGAATAAATGACCCAGCTCAGGAGGGAAAGCAGAAAGAACCACCACTACAGGCAGATGTTTTGATTTATGGTACAGGTTTTGGTCTACACACTCACTGGGAAATGGCAAATGGGAATTGCTGCCTTGCATGGGAGCAGGAGTCTGCCAAAAAAGTGATTGTCAGCATCACTCATCTTCAAATGGTAGCAGGTTCTGTGCCCCCATTCAGTTCCTGTTGACAAGCTCTGTGAATACATGAAGTTTGGCACTCTAGGCTTTGTAAGCTGTTCATCCCTGCTGCAAGTACCCAGTGGTACAGGTTATATAAAGTACTCTCCACAATTTAAATTGGTATAAGTAAATGCCTTATAGAAGATAAGCATAATTATCCAAACCCTTAAGTAGGAACGCTCATAACATTTGCCAAACAAAAATGCAGATAATTGGAATATCTGGCTTAGCACATTCCGAAATTGGCCTTTGGGATCTTAAAAGCTCTGATTTGGTCTTCCTAGTTTGGTGAGTTGGATTTCCACGTAGATCTTAGGTTTTAAACCAGATAGATATTGAAATCTCCTCAGGATCTGCTATGGGAGTTATATTCCTAGACAAATCAGAATACTATCTCTAAAAGAGTTAAGAGAAGTCTTTTAAGTAGCCAAAGGCAGCTAACAAAAATAGGTAACATTTCTCTCCAGGTTATTTTACTTTCCCTAGACTGTCACAGGCCTCTGAAGGGTGTATTTCAGATTGTGACTTAAACTTACCCAAATCTAACTTACCTGAAAGCCCAGGCAGTCAGGCAGAAAACAGGCAATGTCACATCATGGATCATAGATGATGTCTGAACTGAATAATAGATCCTGACAGAGATTTATTTTCCATTTGCCTCTTGAATAAAATAATTTTGGCAAGACAGAATCTGAACTACAGAGGGCTGCTGCTGGTGAAACAAAAGAAATGGGTGGTAAATGAAGTTTATACTGTTAAATCGGTATGGTGATTTTGGCAAAGTTAATCATGGCAAGCCCTGCAGAGCCTCACTCACTGGGGTCTGATGGCTTCTGTTCTGACAAAATTCACTTCTTTTGTGACACTTACATTGGTTATCAAGCAAAAAGTCAGCCACAGTTACAGGTAAATACACATTAGGAACTGAAGTGAGAAAGCTTTCCAGAAACACAATAATTAACTGAAAACTAGCTACCTTTAATTTTAGAATATTTATGTGAATCTATACATGTTAGTGGACAGAAATGCCTCTCTAAATACTCTGAAGTTTGCCCTGGAGTGATGTAGTAATTACCTGGATATGAGTTGTGCATGTTAATTTCTGCAGGTGATAAATCTGGTTTATCTGGCTTTTAAAGATATTATATTTTCCTTCTTTATTTTTTTTTTTTTTTAATGCTCATATTTTCACAACAGAGCACAGACAGCATTCTTATAATTATGAGTGCAGGCAAGAGTTGACAAGGAGAAGCAAGAGCTGAAGGTGATGTAGCTTCTCAGTTAATCTGTGAGGAGAGATAACTGGCAATAACATGAAGTGCAGCGATGTGGCCAGAGAGGCAAGCTGAAAGGATACTTTTATCAGCATTGTTTCAAAGCAGCTATTACAGTAAGTACTAAAAGAGGAAAAGAAGCAATCATAGTAGTGAAGCATAACTGAATTTTGAAATGCCTTTTAATCATGTGCAGGACAAGAACAACATCTTTACCTGAGCAACTGGGGCATGTTCTGGATGTGAAAGCTTACCTGCTTTCAATAGAAACACAAATACATAGAAAAATTTTGGTTGAATTTGAAATTGAGAGCATGTGCTTATGAATTCCTAAATAAGACCCATCATCAGAACTTTCAATGTTTCAAATGCTTTTCATAGTGGGGCCTGGGCTAGGCACAAACCCCTTCCATTGTCAATGTGTTTGAGTGCTTGTTTTGTCTGAAAAGTAATCAAAGATACAGATTATATGGGCCTTTAATATTCATTGTTATTTACCTCTGAAAGATTCTGTTGGTTTGCTTTGCACTTGCTTTTGTAAAAGAAATGCTGCATTGTAATCAATTTGCTGTGTGCAGTTTAAAATGTCAGGGACATTTCTGTTATTTAACCTGCAGACTCCTGCAGTATGGGATGAGGCAGGGTTTTTGAAGTAAGGCTATTTTAAGGACTAACTTCTAAGAGATTTCAGGTTCAGCATATCTAAATACAGTACATCCTTTCTTATTGTTTATTTTCTTTTTAATTTAAAGTCAAGATGCATTTCAGGCAGCAGCTAAGATGCATTGAGTTACTTCTTTTTTTCATTACACTGCTATTTGTCTGGTCATTCTTTTAAATGTGGTAAATACACTATTTACTCTGATCACTTTTGAGTATTGACATTGTTTGAAAATTCATGGGAAATACTAAATATTTCTTTGTTATCAAAATACATATTTGAGTGTAGAATTCAATTAAAATGCCATAATCAAAAATAGTAAAAAAGCAAACTGCTCTATGCACTAATTTAAAGAAAAAAGTTTTAAAATGGAACTCTGTGGAGCTTTCGTAGATACATAGGCCTCTCTTCACTGTTGGTTGAGTTTATTTAAAGAGCTTTTCTAGTCACCTTTGAACCTAAATGATTTCTCCAGATGTACAGAAGTGAACAATGTAAAAATCTTGCTGCTTCAGCAGAACAGGATCCAGCTGGCAGGGAACTGGATCTGCAAGTCATTGGTTACAGCTGTGTTTCGATTTATGTGATGGTTGAAAAAATAAATTACTGGATTAAATGGCTAGAAAGAGGACTCTTTGTTTAGCCCTTGTGTGGGGACTGAAAGTGTTTATGGTGCTGTTTTCTTCAGAGCCTTTGCAAAGTTAGCTGGACAAATAGACTTATTCAAAACTTGTCTGAAATGTTGTGCATTCAGCTTTATTTCTTTACAGAAGAAACTGTATGTTTTTGTATAATGCTGTCAGCCAGCAACCATTCTTAAGGTCTCTTGGCCTTTGAAAGTGGCAGTAGCATTTTAGCAATGTCTTGTAGGCACTGCAGTTTATCACTGGAAGGCAGTTTCCTTTCATTAAAGGTTTTCAAATGCACTTCTTGGCATGAACACAAATGCATGTAGGGACTCTGTCAAACTCATAACTTTTTAATGGGTTTAATATTTCAGCTTTGTATACTGCTTACCTTTTGCTCTACATAATAGTGCTGATGTAATTGTAAAGTGGGTGCATAGTAATTTACAGAGCAGGCACAATGAAATCAGAAACTAATGCCAAGTGTTTAGATTATTGCATATCTTATTTTCATGTTCTAATATGGTGATTATGTCTTATTATCTGATATCCTGATTCTGCAAAGATATACATGCTTAATTTTACTGAACAGTTCCATATCACTTGATAGGACTGAGAGGTGCATAGAGCCCATCACAGCTTTGTTACCTATTTTGATAAGAAATGTGTTGGCGTTTTTAAATCTTTATATGATTAGGGTCCTTCAAAATCTCACAAACTGCTTTTTCTACTGCAGATAGCTTGGATTGAAGGAGCTGAGATGTAACATCTTCCAGTGAAGTCCCCGCTCCATTGCAGTCACTGGGCATTTTGCCACTGGCTTCTCTTAGGATACAATTTCACTTTTAAGTGTATTTCAATGCTTTTACTTATAACCAATATCCCAAGACCCACAAGTGATTTTTCTTAAGTAAACAGTTGCTAGTAGTGCTAGTGAAGTGATACACTACCAAATGTGAACAAAAGATTTGATATTAGACCAACAGGAGTTTTGAAGGTTTCTTGCAGGAGCTATGGAGAGCAAAATAATAGCACAGAACTTTCAGTCATGGCAAACAGTGAGCTTATAGTGAATTTTTTAAACATTTAGCTGGCTTTCAGCATAATAGTTTGCAAAGCCAGGAGCTTTTCAGCACTTATATCTGTTTATTCAGCAATATTTCCTAGTAATTATTTTAGACTGAACATTAGTTTCCTTTTACAGTTATAAAGCAGTCTGTAGCTGTAGCTGAGTATCAGTTACATCTTATTTATTAAACCATTTCTAAAACAGTGCATTAATGTGGAAAATTATGGTTGTGATTAGATCATAATGATTGTTGTATCAAGATCTAATTACTTTTTACAAAACAGTTTGCACAAATGGTTTTCAAAAGATTGCCTTTTTAAAATCCTACAAAGCGCTGACCAAGAAGAGCTAAATACCAGAACAGGAGTTCCAAGGCAAAAGCGAAATCAAACAAGTTGGCCAAGTTCCATCATAAGCCACCCTCAGAAATACCAGAGAGAGGCTTAAAATATTTTAAATAGAATATTTCCCCTCCCCCCTTTTCTTTTATTGTTATCCCCGAGCAGCATTATTACATTAAGAGCCATGCGACAGAAAGTCGTGGTGATGCAGAATAAATAACCATAATGTATCAAAAGCAGACAAAGGTGTGATTGATCTGTCTGGAATTGGCAGACTCTTTCGCTGTGTCAGGCTGTTTCTTTGATCAATGAAGGTATAGCCTCTGACCTTTAAAAAAAATCAATGAGATTGATTGAAAGGAGAGAGAGAACTATGAGAATGCAGGATAGCTTTAACCTTCACTGTCTAGAAAATTTAAAATATTCTGGTTTTGCAGGCATTGAACATATTTTGTATTTTCTTCTTAAAATGCTTTTCTTTTCCCCAGACTGCTTTTGAAACCTCTAAAAACAAAATTGCAGAAATGTGGTGTTTGAATGTTTCTCACAAATGTTTATCTTCAGATTGCATTGTTAAGAAAATAGGTATTTTATCCTACAGCAGAATTCTGTACATTCTCGTAGTGTTTGCAGCATGTACCAAATGCCTTTAATTTCCTTTTAAAAACTCTGCCTTTTATGTGGCAAATACACACCTCAGACTCAGTGCTCAGAGAAATGGTTCAGGTCATTTCAGAAACATTATCCACCCAAATAAAAGGACTTGTATTGCCCTATTTCAGGATCAGGCCCACTGGTGATTGCAACAATAGTGTGTAACCAGCATGGAGGGGTGACTTTGGGAATAGACAGCATATTTTGGTGATTTAGTTCTATGTAGTATTGTGTTTCTATCAATTATATGTGTGTGTGTCTGTGTGTGTGTGCAGGTATATCTACAGGTCAGGGAACAGTAAAAATGCCATACTGGAAAATTTACTAAGAGGGATTTTTAAAATAGTGCTTGGCACTTTACATCTTTCTTATTGAGCAGACTGCAAATGCAGACCTGGCAGTTTAGGCAAAACCAGGTTTCGAACACTTGGAATTTCATTTTACTACTGGGCCTTTTCTTTCTTCACATTCTGATGATGCTGTATTAAATAGTAACACAAAGCAATTAGTGAAGTAAGTATAAAAAATATTCATAAATAGAAAAATTAATTCATTCATAACTTCATGCTCTCACAGCTCAAGGAAACATAGGTCAAAAAAGTATACACATCACAGTGGTTTGTTTTCACAAATAACTACTTTTTTAATTGAAAGTGTTGGCAAAATCAAGGTCTACTGAATAGAATTCACACAAAAAGTAATTCAAACTGCAGTAATTTCTGCTGTCATATGTCTGTGTTTTAATAAAGGGCAGGTAAATCGACAAGTCAGCAAGGAGATGGCATAATAGCATTTCTTGAGTAAGATGGAGCTTGTGCAGGAAGAGAAAGATATTGCTGTTTCTCTGTAATTTTATTTCTGTGATTTCCTTTCAGTAATAGATTGTGTAAGTTATATATATATTCGATACTTTATGATCAGGTGGGAATTGCAGCTAAGTTAAAAAAGGCACTCTTACTAAATTACAAGATGAATTCTGGATGTAGCATTTCTAAATAACAAAATAGAAGGGTGGATTTTTTTTTTTTATGGTAAATCTGAGACTAGATAGCTGTGGGAATTTTCTGGGAATTTATCCCCTTGCTGTTCATCAGTAAGGTGAGAAGGTGTTAGGGACAATCATACAGAACTATGCTCCAGGTCATTCCAACTAGGCACATCATTCTAAAAGTGTTACTCTTCTAAGTCATTTAAATGCTACATTAAGAGAATATTTTTTATGAATATCCTTTCCATTTTCACTGTGATGAGAAAAAGAAAAGGGATGAGTGTGTTATGTCTCAGTTTGAGCACACTGAGGATATGAAGATGAGAACTGTAAAATCAGAATAACATTTGATAGTAGTGCATTTCTCTCTTCCCTTTAGATACGTTCTGATTTTGCTGCAATGGTATCTAATTCTTCTCATCACATTCTCTTAACATTACTATCTGTTATTCCAGAGAGTCCTTATCTGTCACACAAAGTTTGTGTTAATACTGCAAATCACCTCACTCTTGCTGTTTAAGAAACAAAAGCCTCATCCTGCATTTGAGCAGGTTCTCATATCTGACATGCATGTCCAGTCTCACCTCTCCTCCCTCTCCGTCCAGAAGTAATAGTCCCGAAAACGTCTTCTTTTTTCTTCTCTCTCTCTTTTTATTTTTTTTAAATTTTAAAATTTTTGGGTGCTTTCAGCAATGGCTGCTCCCCTTTCTGTTCCTCACAGACACAAACTGCATCTTTCCAGTGTGGATGTGGATGCTGTCCCCTTGTGGATGATGCTTACAGTCTGAGCTGCTGCCTGCAAAGCTGAGCAGTGCCCTTCAGCCAGTTTAAGGTGGTGTCTGGTGCAGTGCATTCATTTAGCATGACTAAAGGACAAAATTAAGGTTCTTTTTGTTTCTCATCCCCCTGCCAGCTACAGCTTTCCCAGAAAAGAGGCAAAGCTGAGGTCATTTTTTTTCCATCTGTGAGGGGTCAGTGACTGCAACCAAGCTGTTCCTGGCTGAGGTATAAGCCTGTTAAAAAACACCTATATTAGCAGCTGAATCATTTTCAAGACCAATTTTTTATATTTCTACTAATGAAAACAGCGGGTCATTAAATCCAGCAGTCGATCTCCAATTATAACCTGGTTTGGATAGCATGGAGCCCTGCCCAGACAGACCCCCAGCCAAAGCCTTTTGCCTCTGTTTGCTGCCCTGTCCCATACCCACTGCTAGCATCTCTAGGAGCACAAATTCCTCCCCAAAATACCATTACCACAGCTAATTCTGCTATTTGGTATTCTCAATGCTGCCTGGACTGGGGCTGTGCATTCAGTCCAGATGAGAAGCAAGTCTATGGTTAAAAAAGGTGTGGTTCTGCTTGGAAGCAGAGGCAGTGTGTACAGGCAGTGATGTATGTGCAAATGTGCCAGGGTTTTCTTTTGCTATTATTATTTAAGTCTAACAGAATAACTCAGACTTAAGAGACCTGAATTCTGGATGCCTGCTACCTGGATTCTTTCTTTCCTCCTGAGAAAATCAGAGACAGATATGTAAGAATTGCTGGGACATTTTTTTGAAAAGCTCTTAGATCTTTTCTTGCACAGGAATTAAAAAAAAAGTTTAATTGTTGACATTTACTCTTCATAGAGTAAATAATAATTACAGGCAAGAATTTAAAGTGGTTCTGCTCATATCAAGCCTGATGGTTCTTTTCTCCTCGCATTGCATGAGGATTTACTTACTGTGGATGCAAAATGTAAATGATGGGCAATTCTGTGAAATTCAGACATGCACACAAAACTGTCTTTCCAACTTTTTCACACTTACCTTCAAACTGAAAATGGATTTTCCTGGTGGCTGAATAACCAGAAATGAGTTGTTTCTAACTAGGTTGAGAGGAGGAGGGTTCTGTAATATTGGATTAGTGAAAGGAGTGAACAGCTTCAGTTTAATTCAACTAGTCTTCTATTTTTTAATCTCCAAGGAAACAGCTGAGTTGAATGTTAATTAAACAGCAGTCTTTGATCCACCCAGCCACTCCCGGAGGCATAATAATAATATATAAGTGCACAGCAGCTCATATATAATAGGTACACTTAAAGGAGTGCATCTAATCTCACCATATTCACATTTTAAAAATTTCTTGCTGACCCACTCTGATATTATTTTAAATAGAGAAAGGAAAAAAGAGGAGAAAATGCTAAGCTAAACTTTGATGGTCTGAAGGTAGGGCAGCGGAGCAAGCATGAGTTGCTATTATGAGGATGTATAAGGGTTAATGATTAGAAGAGTGGAATCAGGAAAGACCTTAAGCCCAGATCTATGACAGTGGTAATTGAGCTGATTGATTACGACATCTCGTTTCAGACGACTATTGATTTAATCTAGTCTGCAGTCCCATTGGCCCCAGAGGTGCTCCCGAGTGAGGCTCAGCACTTGAACCTGGGTACTCTTCCCTACTCACCGTCTGGATATAAATTTCCAGAACCTGCAACCATTTATAATTTTCACTCATCTTCATCCCTTTATTCAGAAGCCTCTAATTTCATCAGGCTAATGTTTTTAACCATTGAGGGAAGAGGCACAGGGAAAATGAAGTGGCACGGACTGAAAAGGGTGTGTTTTTTTAAAAAAAGGCAAGGCAGAGAGCCGGGGCTCTGTGGCCAGTATTTGCATCTGTTGTCTCTGATTCGCAGAGCTAGCAAAGGCTGCTTTTGGAGGCAGTCCACAAAGCTGGGCTATCAGTAGGCAGTTTGCTGTACGCACACGTTCAATTATTAAAATAGTAGACGTTTTTTTCTTTCTGATAGCCATAGCGAGGTCATGACATTAATTTATCCAGGGTATTGTGGGTAACTATACAGAAAAAAAAGCATAAAGGGCACAGATGCTGGAGCAGCAAAAAAATGGATGGGTCTGAGCAAAAGGAGATTAAGAGGCGATGACCAATCTAATGTACGTATAGCAGTAAGAAGCCGGCATCCGTCACAGACTGTTGATGGCAATAAGTATTTTAAGCCACGCTGTGCATGTGGTAATTTTTTTATATATATATATACCTCAGTAACTGCTAAACTGAATGCTGTAATCCTGTATTTTTTCAGTTTCCCAAATCTGATTTTGGTCTTGTTTTTGTTGTCTCATGCTTGGCGTTCTTCGCTCGCTCTCTGTACGTGGGTGTGTGTCTGTCTCCGTCTCTCCCTTTCTCTGAGATTACAAACTTAACTGTTTCCTAATTGTCTACTTTCCTCCATCCTTTTCCTAAGAAATTAATCACCACCATCACCACGACTGGTCCCAAGCGCGCACTAACTGGGCTTAGGGCGTGTACCTGGCGTTTTGGCTTCCTTCCTTTACTCTGGGGCTGTGTGGTATTTTATTTTGGACCTTTCCTGCAAGTGGATGCCCTTGCCGTTCACTGCTGCTGCCGTAAGGTTGCCAAAAGGCTACCTGAGCCGGGACTGCAGCGCTGCATCCTGGGACCTGCCCGCCCGGCTACGCTGAGAGCTTCCACAGCACCAGGCAGCTCTGAGAATTGGCTGGTGAATTGCGTATCACCTGTCCCCCCCCTCTGGTAAATAATTTCTATACCGCGAATCACAGTGGTGTGGTATTGTCTGGAAAAGTAATTCCCAAATACTGTTGGCGTAAAAAAGGGAAAAGCCGAAAGACTGTCAACACCGTAAGCCATTAAAGTCCCTTGCCTTAAGAACAAAGGAACAAGGTAAAAATGCACACAATGATTATGCTCTGTGGATTTTCATAGCCTGTCAGAAAACTTGTGCCTGTGTTTCAGTTATCAGCCTTTGTGCTTTGTTTTGTGTTGTATATTTTCTATTTGCTTCTTCAGTTTCTGTGTGTGTGTATTCCGTGTGTGTGTATGTGTTCAGACTTCCCTACCAAAACGGAGCAAATATCATACAGAAAAATACACAAGTGGGGCTCAAACATGCATTTTCAGTACTCAGTGTGGTGGTGCGGGTGTATTGCCATTGTTCTCTTGCAGTGCTCCCTTTGATACAAGCAGTTTCTATTTTTTTTTTTTTATTTTATTCTAACTAAGAAGTTTAAAATAAAAGAAAAGAAAAAGAGGAAAAAAATTGCTTAGTCCAGTTAAATGCCAATTGAAGCCCAGAAACTCACGATTTCAGCACAGTGAATGGTGATTCAGACCCTGGCAGGGTTTTGGCTATGAGACAATTCCTACTTATAAAGAGTACAATGAAGGGGGGAGGAAGATAGCATTAATTTTGAGGAAGATTAATATTAGTCTTTTAATGTTCATTATTTTCTGAAGAAGTGAATCCTTGTAGCTTTTGAGACCTAGTGTGTCCTTCCCACTGGTATTTATTTGAGCAAAGGAAAAAATTAAGAAGGCGTAGAATGAACTCCTAAGACTGTTCAAGAATTACTGGCATTATTTCTCTCTACATCACGTGTGAGCCTGGGTTGCCTGCTATTCCTGAGGCAGAGGATCGAGGATGAAAGTCTGTGTGTCAGAGCCTGTTTTCACAACTGCATTTGGAGATCTGTCTTATTGATTAGGAAAAAAAGGGGGTGGGAATAGGAGTGTGAGGTGAGGGGAGGACCGACTGACTACTGGCTTATTGCAGCTCAAGACATTTTCTTCCGGAAAGATGTCAAACAACTGAGACACAGCAACAGAGGAAGTAGAAAGGTGGAAAAATAAGAAGAGGGACCCTTTGGAAGAAATGAAGGCATTCCTTATGAGAGCCTTGAGGTTTTTTTGTTTTTTTTTCTTCTAACATCTGACCCACAAGGGCTAGAGTGACAGCGTCATGCAAATGCTGCAGTCCAGCAGGTCTGAGAGAGGGTGGATGCTAGAGAGTGAGTTAATGTTAATGATGAGTGCAGTGAAAATACCAGCCGATACCACCCCCTCCACACACAACTGCTCTGAGTCAGCATCCGCTGCTTTGCCGTGCCTTTCTGTGCGTGTGTGAGTGTGTGTGTGTGTGTGTGTGTGAGTGTGTGTGTGTGCGCATGTGTGTGTGTGTGTGCGTGTGTGTGCTGTGACCGTGTGTGTGCATGGAAGGTAAAGCCAGTCAGTCAGTGAGAAGCAAAGGTACGTTCGAGAGCAACTAAAATCTGACTGATTTCCATCTTCAGAGCATCAGATGTATTCCCTAAAGAGGATGGGTCTATACGGTGGGGGTGGTATAATTATGTTAATGTCATATTTATAGAGGGGAGAGATTTTTCATTCTAATTATTGATTTGAAAGCTGTGGTCAAAATTGTTTGTTAAATCATGATCAGCTTTAAAAAAAGAAATTGAATGAAATCTAGGGACTGCTATACATATATCTCTCTCTCATATATATATATATATATATATATTGTTTCATTTAACTATTTTGTGTCTGAGGCATAACTGATTGAATGGTGCACAGTGACAAAGAAACGGCTCTTATATAATGTTGCATTATATCATCAGCTGAAATAATATTGTAAATAATCCAAAATGTTCTGAAATCTGAAGTAGCAGTCTGGAGGGGAGGGTGAAGGGCAGGGGTGGGGGTGGGGGGCACTGGCAAATCTTTTCTTCGGCAGAGCACTCTGTACAGCTTTCTTATAAATGGATGGTTCACCTGTTCGACCAGCAGAGATTCTAATTCTTCCCCCCCTCTTCTCTTTTTTTTCCTTTTTAAAGCTGAACGGCTTCCCGAAGAGCTCTGAGTTTTCTATGCCAGATTCTGCTCCAGTGGCTAGGACCTTTATGGCTGCTGTTTCTTTTGCTCTGGGATATGATGGAGGGAAAAAAAAAGCCACGATGGATCCTGTCCCTAAAGTAGAAATTTTCTTTT